GCACGCACGCACTCACGCACGCAACGCACGCCACGCAGCACGCACACACACACACAACACAACACACACACACACACACACACACACACACACACACACACACAACACACCACATTAAGTTATTAGAGTCTTAGAGACTTAAACCTTTCTCTAATATGTGTCATGTTGGCAGCAGACTCTGACCCAGAACCTCCGCAGTCTTCCTGTTAAAGATTCCCTTACCAATATCAGCGAGGAGGTGACAACCCAGCTCAGCTTGGGATGAGAGTCCCAGCGGTCCCAAACCAGCTGGCAAATGGGGTTAAAAGTTATTTGAAAGGAGTGTAAATAGTCCATGCAAACGTGGCAATAACCGGTTGCAACAATAAAACAAGCACAGTACTTCTAGATTATTATAATATGTATATTTAATAAATTATATTACCAAAGTCACTAAAAGATTTTGCTTTGCTCACAGTCCAGGACACAATGGTTCGGTGACAGGGAGACTTAGACCCTCTGTCCAGAGGGCGATGATTTCAGATGTAACAGAAATATTTCTTGTCTAATTGAGTGATTGGCTTACATTGAGCGGTGGATTCGCACGAGTGACACTTTCTGAAAACCTGGTCCAGAGTACCAAAGTTTGAAATCCTTCATCTATGCAAATATTTTGCGTTTACATCAAAATGTGACCTGGAATATGATGTTTCGGCAGGATCCATCGATTGGTATTTGTCCATCAATATCTGGTTTGAAGAATAATTCCATCAAAAATCTATACCTCCTATATTTATAAAATGTCCCTGGCTTTGTTCTAAATGTTTTGTTCAGATATTCGATACCTTAACAAGAAAGATTTTTCCAAGAGGAGCATTTCTCATTCCTTAAAACAATTCACAGATTCAGGTGTGGACTTGGAAAGTCCTCATTTCGTTCCTTATCTCACTTCCGCGAGGATTACTGGAAAAGTTTATAAAATTGTGCCCTCATTACTTTTTGAATTATATTTCTAAGTGGTTTTTATTTTGTTTGTTAGTGTCAGTGTTGACAGTTGACGACCAGTTTTTATTGCTTCATTCAACTTGACGCATACATCACATAAAAGTAGTCAATCTCGCAGCACAAACACTTGAGAGAGTGACTCATCCGTAAGTGTGGAGTGTTTAACCCCAAAACATAAACACACACTGAGTAACAAGGGATTTGTCATATAATATGCTATATGGATAGTAGTGTAGTGCTCTCTCGTTTACTGTTTGAAAATCCTCACATCCGCACATTGTATTCATAGTGTAATTTCTTTTGTTACCTCAGTAGTAAAGCAACAGCACGATTGTGGCCTTTTAACAAAGAGAATTTCATTTGTTGTCTTTGGCCAGATCTGCTCAGTGCTGCCAGGCTCTTGACAGTTTTGCCTAAGTGGCATTTGAAGGAATGGGTCAAATGCATGGGGTCAAATTAACCTATAAGGACAGGAATCCTAACCTGCCTTTATCATCGATGAGCGCAAGCAGCTAAATCTGTAGTTTCTTATGCAAAATTAGCCATGTGCTTCTTGGGTTTTACCATGTTAAACAAAGTTTATTTCCTCTGCATTCCAGTGTGTGGGTCGACAAATTGGCGGCAAGTTACTTCCTCACTTTCCACTAGATTTGGGACTTGAGCTGCTGTGGTCTAAAGGATCAATTTTAACATTTCAGTTTCTGACTTTCCAGAGCATTATGGTCAGGGCTCTGTCTTATATCAGTCAATCTAATTCGCCTCACTCCTGCTGCTTCACAACTGTGATGTTTCACAAACCCGCTTCCGGACAGAGGAGACTGATCCTTTTGGCTCTAGCTCTAGGGATTTGTAATTCTATTTTCAATTTTTGTTGTTGTTGTATTCTATTGACTTTTTCAAAAAGGTGGGGACCTTTATGTTAAGTTTTAATTTTTACTGTGTTGACCTTGTAAATGTGTATTTATGTACATTGTATTTGAGTGATGCCTTGGAATGGTCTGTGAATGTCGCGTTATAAAAACATACTTAACTGATGAGCCACAGTAAGTATGTTTTATACAGCGCCTTTATACAACTTTTACAGGGAGAATCAATCTGTCCTTCTAAGATGACTTCCTTTTCTGTTTGTTTTTTCTGAACCGTTTTTGGGAAAAACCTGTTAAGAAAAAACAGACCAGAAAACTTACCTTTGCTTCAAACTAATCCCTATACGACTGAGAGCTTACACAACTTTTAAGGAAAGGACAACATAAGGGCCCCTCGAGGTCCTTTAACGTAGTGCATTTTTGGACCAGTGCTTACTATGGCGTATTGATGCCCAATGGCTACGGACCCAGGCCATGAGTTTGCATCTAAAACCCCGTAGGTAAGAAATTGTATTTTTTTTTTTTAATCTGATGTTTCTTGTTATATCCATTCAAAGTTGCTGACTGGTTGGGTTTGTTTTTTGTTTAATTATTGTAAATTTACATGCAACAGATTCATTAATTTACCGGGATATGTAAATTGTATACATAAACTTGGATATTTTATTCTATAATCATTTTCTTCCGCTTCATTCTGTGGAACCTGAGCGGGTCCATGACCTAAGCGCCAATCGGAGTAGCGTTGGTCTTCTCACTTGCACTACTTCTAGCTAGAGCTGAAGTGGGTGTAAAGGGCTCCAGTGTGGCCTAGTTCATCTCTTGGATTCACCAAGACACCTATCCGCTAATTATCAGGATCCTCAGACACAGCAGTTTAAACCATCTTTTTTACACAGCCTGAAATTATGGTGTGCCCAACAGCTGTATATATAATTAATGGGAGTTTACTATTCAACCTAGGCTGTGTTTAGTAACACAGTCTCTGGTGGCAGCAGAGATGCCCAGATCTTCCTTCCATCCAGCGGGATCTGGAAGTGTTCCAGGTCAGCTGAGATGACAGTCCCTCCCAGTGTTGTCCTGGGTTATTGCCAGCCCACCTCTCACTGAGTGCTTTCACAAAAAAGAGGTCGGATGTTGTGGCAGAAGCGGCTCTACTTTGAGCTTCAAGTAACTTTATTCCAGATTAAACTAATCTGTTGGCTTTGGCATGCATGGTGGCGGTTTGAAAAGCAGAGGTAGAGGCCAGTGTTGGGGGAAAATACATTACATAAATAAGGTTTTGAAATACTTCACCGGTTATGTTGTATGTGCTTGGTTTGTATGAAAATGTTATACTTCTTCTCCCTTTGACTGAAATGAACAAATATGTCTACTGTAGTTGCAATGTGCACGTCTGCACTATATTTCAACGTGACTCACCAGTTTTCGGGGCACAATTTATAGTGGTTTATGAATCCTTTCTGCAGCATCAGCAGTCACCTCACAAAAACACATATTCAGTCAAAGCCGTGCTCTTGTCAACAACAAAATTAGCTGCATGATAAAAAAGCCCCCCATGTTTAGTCCAGACTCCGGGCACCAGCAGGAGGCTCACTAACGACCCGAAGGACAAGATTACAGAACACGTGTAAGACTCAGAACAGGCTATGAAGGGGACATATCTCCCATCTGGCCTGGGAATACCTTGGGACGCCTCTGCTTAAACTGCTACCCCCGCGACCTGGCAACGGATACGGCGGAAGAAAATGGATGGATGGACGATGCAAGTCTAAAACTATGAATATTATGTAAATATATTATACTCCCTAACAATGATAGTAACTTCTTCTCAAAAAGCAAAACCCAGGAAATCAGAAATCCAAATATCCCCAAATGCCTCATGGGCTTCAGAATGATGGTGGAAGGATTGCCATGGCGATTCACAACAAATGGTCATACCTCGACTTTCTCCACCACCTGTTTGCCGAAGGAGCAGACTTTAGTGGAACATGTTATGGTCATGTTCTCGGAGCTTTCGTATTGACTCGTGACACCATAAGAAAATCCTGTTTCATCCTGGATGTTGCAATTTAAATCAGCCTGTCGATCAGAGAGAAAAGCAAAAGCATCATTATTTTATTGATGTGACCTATTCAAAATGTACTTGACACACACACACACACACACTCAGTGATTCTGCTCACGAGTCGCGACCCACCAAACCCAAAAACATATAGAAACATTTCAATATTTCAACAGATGATGCGAATTAGCAAACATAGGTGCAAATGGAGCCATCTCTTCAATGCACAGTAGGTGGACATCGGTTGGAAGGTATCTGGTTTCAGAAAATATTCTGATTAATGCTTATAATTAATGGCTGATTTTAAGAAGTAAACGTGAGATACTTTTAAAAATGTGAAGTGAGAGAGAAAAAATGTTTTTGCAATGTACCACCTGCTTCCTGATTAGATGGAATGAATTAAAATCCTTGAAAACACAGGGCCAAAAATATGCATTCTTTTCTAAATGAAATACTTTTGAAGTTCTGGTCTGGTGTAGCCTGGCCTTAGCCATCCGTACACTCCGATCAATCATCATTTCCCTGCATGTAACGTCTGGGTCTGGTCCCTGTGTTTGCGATTACCATCGGTTGAATTCCATCCGACCAATCAGCGAGCGCGGGAGGCGGGTGTTGTAGTTAGTTGTGGGTGACGTCAAGAGTTTGCGTCGAACGGGCAGGTTGTAGTTTGGCAATGGCGAAAAATGCGATAGTAAAGTAATCCGGTCTGGTTCTATCAAGAAATTGAAGCCGGAGCAAGAGGAATGTTTAGCAAATGTAATCGCTGGTAAAGATTGTGGCGCTACTCCCCACGGGCTCTGTTAGCGGCAAAGGAGATGGCTAGGCTAAATGCTAAATGCTAACGACTCACTCGGGCTCATTACATACGTCACGGTAAACTCAGATCCAATCGTTTCAATTTGCAAAAGGAGTTAACCCCTCCAGCCTGTAAACGGAGCTCAATGAAGCACCTCCAGACCTTAGTACGAAATGTAATTTGTACTATGGTGTGGTACGACCAGGCTAGGTCCGGTGTGGCCCTTTGCCATTCATTCTCTATTTTATAAGGGAGTTAGACATTGTAGTCATCCGATTGTTCACTACCTGTTTTAATCTGTTTTAATCTGGAGATCTGTGCGCGGTGAATCCCTGTTAGATTTCTGCACCACGTTAACCCGACCCTCGCCGATGTCAGAGGGACCCAGTCTGGAGAAAACGCACCAGTGTGGAGTTATATTTGTCCCAATATCAAAGAGAATGATAAAGCTCTGAGAGTGAAAAATACTCAAGTCGGTTACAAAACATTTCATTTTATTCCTCTCTCAAAGTCCTGATTGCATTTGCTTTGTGTTATAAGAAAACATATTATTTATCTTTCAACATTTTTCCTACAGTTCAGACCATGTCCGTGAGGGGTGCCATTCTGTTGTCTGTGGCTGTCACATCTGGTTTACAAAAACAAAAACAATGCTCATGTTTTTTCTGATAATGAATGTGTGTATATAAATATATATATACTCACACGTCTAGGTCGATGCATCTCTTTTTATTTGGTAAAAATTATTTGGATATCGATTACTATTTTTGAATGTAATAATAGTTAGTAGAAATAAGTGATGCATGACCGTGTCAGAGATGGAAAATGGTGTTAAACGTTGAAATGTTGAAAGACTGAATCACAAGGTTGAGCGGCTCTATTGGGAGAGCGTGGCCTCCGTCTGCCCTGCACATCCGCTTCATTACGATCACAAAAAAGACCTCATCCTTCTACTTCATTAACCTCCGCAGTTATACATTCATTATTGTGGAGATTTGGCCTTTCATTTGAATTTTAGATCTGCCGGTCCCTTCAAAAAGATTTCGAGTGGACTTGGCCGAAGAACACAGTACCCTTACTTTGTTGCTCACCGCTAGTTAGCATTTTGTACCAGATCGAGAAATACGAGCGGTGTTTAGAGTCCATTGAATGTCCATAACCGGGTCACACCATTGTTCCGACATATTGAATTAGTGAGTGCGCTGATCAAAAGCTCCTCTGCTCTTCCTGTCTAAATATAGCAATAGTAGTCATAAACAATTCGTCTTCAGTGTGTATAATGAAGAGAAAAATCAATTTTCCATAAACTAATTACATTTTAAGAGTTTGTGAATCAGCTTTTCAGTTTGAGGCTTTAGATTATATTTAGACTGCGTTGGTTTGTTGCTGACTACCCACAGTCTGATTCTTATTAAATAGACTGGCTCATGACTTGTGGTTCGAGAATGCTTACCCAAAATTTTATAAGGAAAAAGGAATTCTGGGGACCCTTTCCGTACAGTTCCTTTAGTCCTCCTTTTTTCTCTGGAAATTTGTCGTAAATCTGCCGAACGTCCACAGATTCCAGGAGAGCATCGCTGTAGGAGTGATTTGTCTGACCAATATGTACAAATAAATGTTTGTTGTACTGCAAAAGATAAAAAGTACAATTTTAGTTTTCATCATATTTCTGCGTTTTACTGTTTTATGTGATTCACACATGTTTTTTTTTGCATTTTAGATCAAACCTAAAAAGACTGAAAACAATGTAGTTCAACTATATTAATGATTATAATTGTGGAGGTATTGGTGCGTTTCTTACAGAATCTGGGTCTCTCTTTTGTTCTAGAAAAGCAGAGAACTCCACCAGTCGCAGTTTGGACGTCCCGATAGAGCGCCCCTGCCAGGCCGCAGCAGGAGCCTGGACCCCTAAGGGTTCGTAACCTAAAACAACACGACAGTACTTTCAATCCAAATCAATTGTTGATAGTGAAATTCATTTAAGTCTCACCTGAAATGGCAGAAGTAACTGTTGGCTGGATTGGATAGGCTTGTTGTGAAAATGGTTTAATGCTGTAAAATAGAAAACATGAAAAAGTAGTGAATAAAAAACGAATAATGTTGTTTTAGAGAAATTCCCATTTTTTTATATATTAACGATAATAATAATGTTGCTGTTTTTTACTATTATATTGTACCTAATTAAACATGACATTGGATTAGCATGATATCTTAATTTTATTTAGTGCAGATGCAGAAACACCTTGATTTGCCAGACTTACTCTTGTGAGGATCCTGGCTGTCCAGCTGAGATCATGCCCTGCCATAACTGTGGGGAGAGTTATCGTCAAAGACCAAACGAACAAAGATGATCTGTGTCCAAATGTACATGTGTTAGCGGCAGATCAAAGGCTGCGAGCTCATGTTTAGTGTCGTCTTTGTATCTTTGATGGTGAGTTTATCTGATGGCGCAGCATCAGTGTGTAATGTGATTCTGTGTGGCTGGTCTGCCTGTGAGTATCGGGGGGCAATAGAGATACTCACCCCTGCCCCGGGGAAGGCAGACCGTGGGATGCCGGGCAGCCCTAGTTTGTTGTGAATGGCCGTCGCAGAGACGATCTGAGCAGACGACATAGAGGCCATGCTCTGCAGCGCTTTGTCCTTCACGGCTTGATCCTTTAACAGCAGTCACAAAAGGTTTAGCGCCGCCACCACACCAGCCACACTCAGCACATTTCACAGCAGCAGGCTCAAAGAAGTGCACCAGTGTTTAAGTGTGGCACGGTTTTTCGTAAACCACAAGAATGAAAACTGAATTCCGATTTACAAAGAATGGAAGTGGTATGCGAGTAAAAACTTAATGACGAATGTGTCACATACGTACGTCTTTCAAACTCCGAATGAAATCGTAAAGGAAAAGAATTTCTTAAGTTAGAGCGAAGGCCGCGACACTGACAAAACTTTGAGTAGTCACAACAAGTAACGATTTCACATGCCCCAAGCAAAGCCATGCATGTGCCCTGGCTGATAGTTCTGTCACCATAACACAACCACACCATGTGAATGCAGAGACATGTTGAAATAAGTCAACTTTTCTTTAACGACAAATGATCTAAAGCCGTAAAACCCCTGAAAGTCTCCTGACCATAGCAAAATAAAATACAAATAACATGACCAATGATAATAATAATATATCGTTCTAGCTATTGTGTAATGAATGGAAATAGTAATGCTCATGACAGGCGTGCAGGCCCCAGAGTGAAACCCCCACACAAGAAGAACTGAAGAAGAAGAATGGAAGTGCAAACAGGAGACGGACGCAGACTTACCATACTGGTGATCTGAAAGAAGAAAACATCATATATTTGTTACAATGGTTTTTATCCTTTATCCAAATGAAATACATGATGATGATAATAAGTGAAGTAAACATTCGATAACATTTTTGATCATCAACTTCCATTATAATTGGTCTCCTAATTAAGAATGTTGTTTATGTGTGTTTTATTCTGCAGATATATACAAATAAATAACCAAAATCATTCAAAGTGTGACAAAAACTTGCTGTTATGTTTTAGTTTGGTTTTTTTCAGGATGTCACAAACAATATACCATGATTATCCACAATTATTGATACTTAAAAATGAACAAAAGTAATTTGAAAAGAGCTTAAATACTTAACACACAAAAACACACACACATTGAAAACAATTGAATTTGAGATGTGTTAACTATCTATTTATTCCTTACAATTACATGTGACCTACAACTTGACATACTTGGTTTGTGTAGGCTTATAAGTAAAATAATATAACTTTTTTTTTTCTCCACCTGTTCATCCACTTCTCATAATTCCTCTTATACAGCAGACAACACACAGTCTAATGTAATCCATCAAAGATTACTGGAAGCAGCGGGTCTTCCATTGACGACCTTCTAAAATGCAGGGCACTTTTGTATTCCTCTGCCACTGAAGTCTAATTTGCTTCAAATGAGAAAAGCCAGGGAGTCGTACAAAAGCCGCCTGTTTTTTCTCAGACTGAAAGAAGCAGGCATTCATGTGGTCTGCCTATCCCCTCTAAAACACACTCTCTAATGCACGTGCACGCTGATAGGAGGTCATTCATCCTGCTGAATAATGTGTGCAGGACTCTAAACGTAAAGCTGCTTTCTCTCCAAACAAGATCCATACGCTTCGATTACGACGGCTGCAGGATTTTGCCAAAACTATATTTTTTTGGGCAAACATCGCAACTAGATTTGTGATTTATGATTTTAAATGTATGATCTGTATAGGAGACTTCACACGGCTGGACAATGACACGTCAACAAAAAGCCACGACACAGGAAATTCAAACAATGAGTTCAATATCCAATTTGCAAAAAGAGAAATCATAATCAATTGTTTTACTTAAAAAAGAAAAATGACACAGACAAGCAAATATTATTTTACAACAGCCAATAGATACATAGAAACGTATTAGTAAGGGAGCTACGACTTCATTCATGTTATTATTATTTTTGTATAATTATTTGCAGCAGGCATCCGACTTCCGTTTGTTGTTTCCAATTTCCACTGTGCAACTGTCAAATAAACCATTTCAAGTCAATTCCGATTAATCTCGGAGCCCTAGTTAGTCTTCTGTAACACGGTATATAAATACCTCAAATTACAGGTCAATATTATTCAAGATTACCCTTTCTTTCACAAGGCCCCAAGTCTTAATGTGCCACTCTCAAACGCTTTTCTTCCTCTCAAATGTTTTTTTTTTTTTCCTTGAATTTCATAGCTGAGAAGAACGCCCCGAAATTACAACATTTGAATCAGGAGGAAGGAAAGGCAGCGACAGCCATGGCGTTGCACAAAGCCAGAATGAACAGCAGCTTCAGGAGAGACGTATAAAGCGGTTTTGAAGCAGCCAGGGCTCTGAATGCGTCTGCTTCAGCGGCTTTGACAGCGAGGAGAAGTTGGGTTTCTGTGTCAAAGGAGGTTAAGGGGTGATCTCTCTCTTCTTAACACAAACCCTTTTATTTAATTTAACAATATTCAGCTCTGAGCCAAGACTAGCCTGCTAACTAAATGTGCCTTTTGGCCGTCATAGAACGGTGAAATAAAGGGTTGCAACTAGGGCTGGCTATCTTTCAGAGCCGCCGATACAACACGCATGACATACATATCTATATACCAGTAGATACAGGGCACTTTCAATTCAATATAGTTTGAAAAGATTCAGTATCTAGAGCTCTGCCCCATCAATAAAAGAAATAACAGAAGAAGAAAAATGTACTCTTTGTCTCTATGGGTCTTTATTACTTTTCTCTCTCTATATATAATGAACTATCAAGATATATTTTAATGAAAAAAATAAAATGACACAAAAAATATAGATATTTTTTCGAATTATTTTTATTCAAATGTTGTATCATTTGTTTTAGTACACTCCAAGCTGCACTAATGAGTACTTTGAAAGAGGATGAAGCAAGCACGTATCCTTTCAATTAGTCATTTAGAAGTAAATGTGCAATAATATCTAAACTGATAACTCTGAAGTCAGACAAAACTGAAAAACTATCTGTGTATCTATTTGACTTGTGCACACTGGGGACTTTTGCAAAATATTTCCAATAGAGTTTTAATGCAAAGGGCAAAAAAATTTAATGTGAATCTGAAAATATGCTTTGCAGTGCATTCAAGTTTTGAAGTCTGCTTATTGACCCAATAACATCCTCATCCGGAAGCATGTGTCTGCAGTGTCTTATTCTGTGTGATTCCATAAACAATTGTTGGAAAAGCCATACATCCGTCGCCAAGATGCACACACAGCTGTCTTTGTTTACTAACACTGAACACACAACAATTCATTCTAAAATAGTTGCAGATAATGTCAGAAGGTCCGGTCTGTAGATAAGATAAGATCAAATTTCAATCAGGGTGTGCAAAAAGACAGGAAGTGTGCAAACATGCAAAAATGTTAAAATATAGTCTTTTTTGTGTAAGATATAGGAGAGCGATACATTCTGTCCTGATGTGTGTGTGAGCGTGCGTGTGTGTGCATGCGTGTCTGTGTGTGCGTGCATGTATGTGTGTGTGTGCGTGCGTGTGTGTGCGTGCGTGCATGTGTGTGTGTGTGTGTGTGTGTGTGCATGTGTGTGTGTGTGTGTGTGTGTGTGTGTGTGTGTGTGTGTGTGTGTGTGTGTGTGTGTGTGTGTGTGTGTGTGTGTGTGTGTGCATGCGTGTGTGTGCGTGCATGTATGTCTGTGCGTGCGTGCATGTATGTGTGTGTGTGCGTGCGTGCGTGCATCTATGTGTGTGTGTGTGTCTACTGCTTTTTCATCGAATATTCTTGTTTTTAGACTTTAGAAATATACTTTTAATATTAATTGTGGCTAATTCTAGCTATTATGAACTTATAATTTTGATTCTTACCTCTTGAAAAATTAAGATTGCTATTTTTATTTGTCACAGATTATTATGAATAAATCAAACACCTATCGTGTCAAAACGATACATGACACAGAAAAGTAATTCACCACAAGCAGAGAAGCGGGAAGTGCATACCTTTAGCTTGGAATGAAACTCTCGAGATTTCCTTCTGGCCAGAACTTGAATGTGACTAGACACCTGCGGGGTCAGGGAGGGAGGGGCGGAAGGGGAGGGAGGGGGAGGAGACAAAAGAAGAGCCTGTAACTATGGCAATGAAAAGCCCCCTGCAACTGGGCAAAGCAAGACGTACCTTAATGGCAGCTTGGATATCTCGAACTTTCTTTCTTGCTAATACTTGTATGTGACTAGACACCTCCGTTTCAAAAAGACAAAAGGGGGAAATCAAAAGGTGGATTACACATGTTTTTCTTTTATTGTCATGAAGGTCAGAGGCAGCTCGGAGCTACAGAGCAGGATAATAATGTTAGTGTTCTGATTTGAGGAACTGCTGCTTGTGTTCGTCAAACCACAAGATGAATCTGGTGGCAGCCGAACATTATTTTAAACACAAGAAGTAAAGTTTATGATTAAAAACTTCTGAATAAAAAAATATATCACGGGGGCGGAGGTGGCCATGCATCAAACATTTAAAAAACAAGCAAAAGCTTCTGACGGTGCTGACTGTAATGTGTACAGATAAGTCTGCGCTAAGAGTATTAGACCCTTTCCTGGTTTAATACTGGTACAAAAGTAGAAAAACCCACCCATTTTGGTAGGTAATTTAGTTTTAGTCTCATTCAATTTTAGTCTGTTAAAATTGCAAGACCTTTTAGTTGACTAAAATTAAAACAAATGTAGAGTAAAAAATGTTTTGTCAGAAATCATAAAGTCTTTATAAAATAATAATTTAATAAGAGGGTTTTAAGTACTGTATCAATGATGTGTTATCTAAAGCAAAAAACGGTCAGTCTCAAAAAGTCAAATATTGACTCACAAGGCTCTAATAAGATGAAGAATCATGTTATTGTCTGATTTCTTGAGTTTTATGAGCTTTTATATTAGACAAACATGCAGTTAGCCAACTCATAGTCGGTCATTTGTATTTAGTTTTTGCCTCTACAAAAAACCTTTGGGATGAGACTATTTCAACATAGTTTTGTATAAATAAAATAAATAAAAGAATAAAACCCACAGATTGATGGATTGATTGATGGGCTGTAGAGACCAGAGCCCAGCGATGTTCTAACTGCAGTACGGTGTTCTTGATTATTCTTGATCAAAGCTAACGCCATAGAGTTTGTGTTGCGACTGTAGTGTGCAGTGACTGTGACTCCCCAAACCGATCTCACTGCTGACGCCTTCCCCAAGTGCACACAAGCGAGACACCCATACAAAAAATAGTTCTAAATGATCCGGATCACCGTCTGGATCAGAGAAAACTGTGCCTCTCTTGGCGGAGGTTGTTTTCTTCAAGTTGTTTTTGTGTGAACTGCTCTCTTTCCTCTCACCTGTTTCCGAGTCCTTGTCTTCCCTGTTCGCAGTTTTATGTATCTGGCAATCAGTTCATTCCGGCCTGCAAACACAAGGACATACATTTCAAAACACTGTGCTGCTTCTTCCCAACATTCAATGAATTTCTTAAATATTTATGAATTCACATGGTTTCATTTGTGTTAAAATTACAGTATAATTTGGTGTGGATTACATTTACTTTACCAGTCCCCAGCGAAGTGAACACAGCATGTGACATTAGCATTAAAATCGGTTTATTTGAAAAGATAATGCTATGATGTGCTATGAAAGGAAGAGCTGTTCTTAGTGTTACAGAAAATAGTATAACGGAATAAATCAGGTTTAAAACAGGGTGCAGTAAATGATAATTAAAAGAGCTTTGTAAAGACTTCCAATTAACGGCTCAAAAACATTCTTCTGCCCTATGCCCGACTAATTTATGTAACAATGCGTATGACCCCTGCTTAGCCTTTTCATATGGTAATAACACAGCGCCAACCAAAACTATTACACAAATTATAGTTAAAGAGCTTCCCTCATTATGAGTCCAGCTGAACACAAACCAAAGCCTGGGCTCACTCTGGTCTTCTCAGAAATGCGACATGACACATTTTGTGGCGTTTGGTTCATTTTCTATTTGGTTGTACACAATTAATAGGACGCATTGGGGCTGTATCTGTTCAGTTATTAATATACTGTATCTGAAAGAATCAGGTGGAGGATCTTAACCGTTTGGTTCGTTTGGTTTTGAGTAGTGCAGGAAACTCACACAGACACACACACACACACACACACACACACACACACACACAAGGAGAAACATGCAAACACAACACAGGCCCAGACCAGCACAGGATTCAAACCCATGACCTTCAGCCACTATACTGCCAAAAGACCATCAACAGACAGACACATAAGATACACAACATTGTCTATATGATTGAGTTTGAATAAAGAACAGATAAAGTTGTGTGAGACATTGTTGTGGAGAACAGGTATTTCAGTGTAAACTAGTTTTCATAGCTTTGTGTGTCATTGAATGGATTACACACATTGGAACCATAACATTACAATACAGGCATTCATGAAAACCCTGATTCCTAGATCAAAGCGCACAAATGGGCATCTGAAAGCTTCCTTACTATTGAATTATTCATTCTTTTCACCAGACAAAGCTCACAGGGCCTGGCTGTCCCACTTGTTCAACATGTGTTTACACGACATAACAGCAACAAGCTTTTACGACAAAAATTAATATGAGAATACAATGTCTGAGAGATTGTTATTTGTTATTATTACATTCATGCCATTATCATTATTAAACTTTTTTACCTTTTAACTCCACTACAGCTTGAAAACAAGAAGTACAAAGTACTAACAACAAATGATATGAATGTATTCTATTTCCTGGTGATCAGAAAGATACATCCCACCTGACATTTTAGATGACTATTGACTTTGTATAGACAAGTTTGTTCTTCTCCATCTGACGTATTGTGATGCCCAGGAAACCAACTGTTGATGCTTTTAGTCAGGAGTTTTTTTTCGGTGCATGTTTTGGAGACGAGGGAAACCCAAACATAAACAGGGAGAACTCGACACTATGGACCATAGACCATTGTATATATTAACGGACAGAGTCACGCCTATCTCTGCCGTTCATAGGAGTTGGCCATAAAAAGTGCTTTCATGGAGCAATCCAAGATGGCCGCGAGTGGTCCCGCCCACAAGAAAATTGTGAAAAAACGCATCTGCGCATGCGTCAGCCGGCGCAGCTCCATTCATTTGAACGAGAGACTTCAAAAATTCACCGCGAGTAAACTAGAGTGGACCAAAAAAATTCACCCCCCTCAGCATCGACGCACATGTGGAACGGAGCTTTGGGCCAAGAGCCAACTTTTGGTCCATCCTGTAAAGACGTTTTTGAGAGGTCTGCCAACGCTATATGACAACTATATTTATCAATCAATCAATCAATCAACGTTTATTTGTAGAGCGCCTTTCCTACACAAGGCAACGCAAAGCGCTTCACATCCCCTATCACATCATGCATAAATCAAACACATTAAGAGCACAAGATATATTAAAAACATTAAAAATAAAATCAAAAAAATTAAAAACCTTTAAACATTAAAATCACAGATGGGACTAAAATCATAAATAGTCACAGTGCATTAAAAAGATTAAAGATAAAAACAAAGATGAAAAGATAAAATCATTCAGTTGTATATGCGCAGCTAAACAGAATTGTTTTGAGCCTAGATTTAAAAGATGCCAGAGTAGACGCCTGTCTCACATTCTCAGGAAGACTGTTCCAGACTCTAGCCGCATGAATCTGAAATGCAGTTTGCCCATGTCTAGTACCGACTCTGGGCACTAACAGGAGTCCAGTCCCTGTGCTCCTCAGAGTCCGGGTCGGTTCATATGGCACAAACATGTCATGGATGTACCTTGGCGCGAGACCATGGAGAGACTTGTACACAAGTAAAGCTGCTTTGAAGTCTATTCTCTGAGGAACAGGAAGCCAGTGCAGAGACCTGAGAACTGGACTAATGTGGTCGTACTTCCTAGTTCTGGTCAGGACTCGAGCTGCTGCATGTTGAATGTACTGCAGCTGTTTTACAGCCTGTTTGGACAGACCTGTGAGCAGGCCATTGCAATAGTCTAACCGACTGGAGACAAAAGCGTGTATAAGAGTCTCCAAGTCTGCCTTAGACACTATGTTTTTAATTTTAGCAATGTTTTTTAGGTGGTAATAAGCTGCTGATGTTACAGATTTTATGTGGCTTTTGAAATTTAAGTCTGAGTCCATTATCACTCCTAGATTTCTGACCTGATTTGAGGGTTGTAGAGAGAGAGCCTGGAGGTGACAAATAACGCTCTCTCTTTGTTTCTGAGGTCCGAAAACAATTATTTCAGTTTTGTCGGTGTTTAGTTGGAGAAAGTTATTTTGCATCCAATCACCGATTTGCTGGACACAGTGAAGGAGCGAGTCCACTGGTTCATGCTCTCCTGCTGTCAGGGACACATAGACCTGAGTATCGTCAGCGTAATTGTGATAAGAGACATTATTACTGTGAATCAACTGACCTAGAGGCAACATGTAAATATTAAACAGAAGAGGACCCAGGATTGACCCCTGTGGCACTCCGCAGGTCAGGGCCAAGTGGTCTGAGGTACAGTTTTCGATCTCCACAAAAAACTTTCTGTCTTGTAAATAGGACCTAAACCAGCTTAGGGCGGTGCCAGCAACACCAACCCAGTCCTCAAGTCTCTGAATGAGGATGCCATGATCAATAGTGTCAAAAGCAGCACTTAAATCTAACAGAAAAAGGACTGAGACTTTTCCTGCGTCAGTGTTTAGTTTGATGTCATTTGTTACCTTTATTAGCGCGGTCTCAGTGCTGTGGTGGGGTCTAAACCCTGACTGGAACATATCATAAGCGTTATTGATTATTAAAAATTCTGTAAGTTGTTTATAGGCAACTTTTTCTAGAATTTTTCCCATGAAAGGCAGATTTGAAATGGGCCGATAATTTTTGAGTGCCAGGGCTTCCAGACTCCTCTTTTTTAGGAGGGGCCTGATGACCGCCGTTTTCAAGGCCATTGGGAATGTTCCAGATTCAAGAGACATATTAACTATTTGTGTAAGTGAAGGTAAAAGACTGCTCAGAACTGACTTGAGAAATCTAGGAGGTAATACATCCAGGCTGCATGTGGAGGAACTCAGACTAGTGATTATCTCCTGGACAGTTTCAATTTGTACTGGTGTAAAGTGCGTCAGCCCAAAAAGCCTCACTGGCGGTTGGATTATTATTTCTATCGTGGAGGTGATGGCGTTTTTGATACCTTGGACTTTGTCATTAAAGAACTGAGCAAACTCATTACATTTAGATTTGGAAGTAAGTTCTGATGGCATCTTAACAGGGGGATTCGTCAATCTATTTACTGTTGAAAACAGAACACGTAGATTGTTGCTACAGCCTTCAATAGTTTCAGAAAAGTACATTTCCCTCGTTCTACGTAGTTCCCTGTTAAAATTGCACAACGCATCTTTGAAGATCTCATGGTCAACTTTGAGATTTGACTTTCGCCACTTCCGCTCGGCCTTCCGGCACTCTCTCTTCTGTGCCCTGACCGAGTCTGCTTTAGTCCATGGCGCTTTTTGCTTGTTTGTAACTATTTTAACCTTTACAGGAGCAATTGTATCCAGAACATTCAAAACAGTGGTGGTGACAGAATCAAGTAATTCATCTACAGTAACACACAACGTGTTCTCAAAGTTTACCCTCCCCATGAACAGTTCGCCTGTATTATCATTTATGTGTCTTCTTCTAACAACCGAAGATTCAGCTGGTGGTTTACAATCAAGACACATGTCAAAAAATACACAGAAATGATCAGACAGAGCAACATTGACCACATTTACATTTGAAATATTAACCCCCTTGGTAATTAACAGATCGAGAGTGTGTCCTCTGCTGTGGGTGGGGCCACTCACATGCTGAGTGAGACCAAAGGTTTCCAGCACAGAGCTCAGCTCTATTGCATATCTATCATTAGCATTATCTACATGTATATTGAAATCACCTACAATGACCAAACCATCAAAATCTGTGCACACAACTGAAAGCAACTCAGTGAAATGATCAGTGAAACTATGGCATGACTGTGGCGGCTTGTACACAACAATAATAAGAATGGAAGAAGATTTCTTTTGTTCTATTTTAAAAGAAACATACTCAAATGATGAAAATTTCCCAAGAGACACTCTATGGGAGACAATACAATCTTTAAAAACTGCTGCTATGCCCCCCCCCCCCTTTTATTTTCTCGTGCACTAGAATTAGCATTGGCTAATTCTTCTTCTACATTTTGGCCACTTTTGAGCTGGGACCCGCCCCCACTGCTATGGACCCAACTCAGGTGACAAACTGCATCCATAAATGTTTACATCTGATTGACATTTTGTAAATTATCCAGTCCTACACAATTTATGCCATTTTACAAAAATATTAGTGGTTGGCAGGAAATTCAAATTATTTCCACATACATCAGTGC